AATACACCACACACACACACACACAAGACAAATAAATGAAGGCAGACTGTTTGCAACTCTCCAGGTAGGCATCACTCTCACTTCTTCGGGAAATCAGGCCTGGGCTGAGCTGAAAAGTTGGTGGCAACTTTCATATAAAATAATCTCCCCAGCGTCTATGATAATCCTGCCCTTTCTGCTCCCACTCCATGAACAAACAGAAAAACCCAGGCACCATCTGATTTGCACCTTTCACCTTATTCGCCTCAGCTTGAACGGATCATTAAGTTGGCATTCTGTCCTGATCACTGCCACTGGGCTTTTTAGAGGAGAGAGGGGGAAGGAAATATGTGTGTGTGTATGTATGTATATATATACACCTACATGCATACGTAGAGAGAGATCTATCTCCCAGCAGGAACGGCTCTGTGGCAGGCTTGGTGCATCCCTGGAGAATAAAAGACCTTCTTGTCCCAGCCAACACAACCACCCACCAAACAAACACATGTACAACAGCAAAATGATGATGTGAGCCAGATTCTCTCCCCCACCTCCTCCAGCCCCCTCCCCCCAGCCCAGCTCCCTCTTTACTAGGGCTGGAGGGGAACATTGGGACGCTGGCTTTCTCTGATGCTGCCCTGGGGTTGCATAGAAAGGGGGGCGGGTGTGGAGGGTGCATGCATGCATCTGGCTTCTGTCCATCTTACCTGGGGTTGCTCTTGTTCCAATAAACAGCATAGCGATCCGAGATAACTTTCCCAGTATCATCAGTCCAGACACAAACCCCGACGAGGGCTACCAGCAGCACGGCCACCTCCAAATGCACCATCGTATTTTATCGTCCTTTCTTCCTTCTCTTCTCTCTCCCCACCTCCCCCCCACCTTCCGATTTCTCTGCAAGGCTTCGCTTTACCAAGAATGCAACCGGTTCATTTATTCCCAGAGCCTCTGGCTGCCCTTGCTCCTGATGCAACTAAACACTCCTGATTCATTCAGAGCAGTGGATCCAATTTTGCAATCATTGCTAGGCAGCATGTGCAGTTCCTGGGTGCAGTCGCCCCTTGTTGCAAAGTCTGTTGCAATCGGATCTTTTGGAAACAAAAGTATTGCCGGTCTTCAGTATGCTCTGATTGTATTGGTGTAGGTGGGGCTGTGGGAATTTTTGTTTTAAATAATCCAGCGGTGGATGAAAGTCCTATGGGGGGTGAGAAGGGGAATTCACCGATAACTTTCTCCCTTCGCCTTGTTCTCGTGCATTCTCTCTGCACCAGCAAAGTCCCTGGTTCTCAAACTCTGTAGGTGGTTTTCCTGCAGGAGAAGAGAAGGGATCCCATGTCTTTCCAAATCAAAAATCTTCAATCCAATCGGTGCAAATTTAAAGGACAAGGAGAGCTAGGAACAGCCGCAGTCGGCAGACTCAAGCGACAGGTTGCAAATGATCCCCTTACCATTTCTGAGCAGGCATGGTCCAGCCCTCTCCAAAGGGGAGCAAAGTCAACAGGCGAAGTTTGTGGTTCCTCTTCTCCCCGAGAGCACGGCCACACGGACACATCCCATGTCTTCCAAGGAGGAAAAGAAATATAAAGCAGGCAACTTCGCACTCAGCAACAGCGATGCAAAGGGGGGGGAGGTTTCCTTCAGAGTCTTAGAGCCAACCCATCGTCCTCAGCAATCCCACAGCCCAGCAAGAGAGACACACATATTTCCAAGCGTGAATAATTTCTTCCCCCACCCCCAAAACAAACTTTTAACCAAGTTCTTCTTCTCTTAAAGGGCTCCTTCTGCCCTTGCCTTCCCCAGGAAGAGTCGGGGCGCCTTCCCCACACCTGTCAAACCAGAATGGGCTGAGATCCGGGGAGCAGGCGCTGCAAATCTCGTGCCAGGATCAGCTCCAGTCTACAACCGGTTACTCAGCGCAGTCCCGATTCACAGACCTTTGCCGCTTCCCTCTGGCATCCAGGATCTCCCCCTCTCTCTCTCCCCCTTTCACTTCAGACTGAAACAGGCAGAAACCAAACGAACCAACATTGCACCGAAATGAAATGCAAAAGGCAGAGGCGGGGGGACAGGAGGCCTCTCCTGCCCCCCCTCCCCCGGGCTTTTAATGCAAGTGCATCATGATCAGCAATGAGGCCCCCCCCATCTCTCAGTCCAAAGTTGCAGAGATGGGCAGGGGCACTGCTCCCCTTCTTCCCTGCCCCCCGCCCCCGCCGCTCCTCGGCGCCTCTTTCGCCGGAGTTGCAAGCTCCGAGTGAATGAAACTGATTTTTTTTTCTTTTTTTACATTGTTGCCACTTGCGGTCACCCTAACCGCGGCTCGGCCCCCCATTCACAGAGGCGGAGCCCCGGGCTCAAGGTTGGTTGGCCGGCACCAGGCTCACACGGGCTTGGCCCCACCTCTGCATGGGGGTGTCTCTTGCCGAGTCAGTCTCCGCTCTGGAGAGCGAGAGGAAAGGCTTGGAAGTGGCTCTCCCCGAGCCAGAGCAGGGTTCAGGGCTGGGCTGTCCTTTCCCTGGCTCCAGGCCTGGGAGCAGGGGGGGGTTAGTTATTGGTTTGTGCCTGGTGGGCTTTTTAGTGCCACGGGCAAGGATCACCTTACAAAAATACAAGCAAAAGGCCCAAATATGGTGTAGAGAGCCAGGCAGACTACATCGGGGGAGAGAGATCAGATAAAATACCTTGCATTATACAGTCCTTTTCATCGCTAGCTCATAGGTGAACAAATCGAATAGTAATCTCAATAATATGAGAGTTTGCACGTATACGTCACCTTCATTCGTAGATCTTGCAGACAGACAATATTTCATATTTATAATAATACTTAACTCGTATACAGCCACTGCAACGCCCGTTGGCCCTTTGCATTCAAAGCCCTACTCCATTATACACAGCACCTTTCATCCCCAAACCCCGCACAGCCTGGCCAACGCAGGGGGCGGCCTGCTGGCACGCAGCGACCCACCTTCAAGCAGGGATAGAGCAAGACGGGCCCCGAACCCTGCAGAATCACTGATGTAAACGGCGGTGGTTTAGATCACCGCTGCAGGATAATTTTCTAACACCAGTGCAGGGGAGGAGAACTCTTAGCCGGGAATGCAGGAGCAAACCCCTATGAACACCTGGGGATCCTTCCATTCCAAGCAGGCAGACGGGAGCTTGATTAGTTAAGGTCTCTTCTAAAAGACCCAGACACAGTAAAGTGTTTGGTGAGCCACTTACCAGCCTCAGATGACAGCCTGATACTGCAAACCCTCACCTCCCAATGACTTCAAGTGAGAGCTGAGGGCCTTATCATTTCAGACCCCTAAGCACAAATTATCAGCACCTCAAAAGGATCCACTGATGCTGGGGGTGGGGGGAGATTTGAGCCTGCAGCTCCATCTAGTCTAGGCTAGCTACTCAAACGACAAAGCCATGCCCTACCTCCGATCTAGTATTGCTGAAGTGCCAGATTTACAAAGGTATTTAGGCACCTAAAGCTTTTCAAAAATGACGAGGTGCCCCCTGAAATCAGTGGGAGTCGGACGCTTTTGTACAGCTGACAAGGTGGCTTGCATGCACCTATTTACCTCTTTAAATCTGGCCCTTCATCTCAGCTACGTTTTGTTTTGGAGGAGGGGTTTTTTTTTTAACACAAAACAAGCGCTATTATAAAGCACCTGGGATACGTTATCTGGATAGGTGCAATATGAATCAAATATGGATTTGCATCATTATTTGGCAAATCTCAATTGAAAACGCCAGTGAACTGTGGGTGTGACACCCCCCAAAAATAAAGGCAGAATTCTTCCTCCTTCTGTGCAACTGACTTCTCTGTCATCAAGGTTATACATCTCTTTATCTGACTCCCATCAAGATATTTCTCTATCAAGCCACCGTCAACCAATCTTTCTTCCTGTCAGCACGAAGCTATCATAAAGCTGTCCACTTGTCCATCAGTTTTACTTGTTTTCATTCATCAAGCCCAGCCACTAAAAGCCTTTTCCCCACACCGACGGGGCTCGCACATGGTCCCGTCATGTATGATCACAGCGGCAATGGCCAGCAAGAGAGAGGATTTGGGAAGAGGGGACCGGCCACTGTTGGTGTAGTGCAGGGGTTGGCAACCTTTCAGAAGTGCTGTGCTGAGTCTTCATTTATTCACTCTGATTTAAGGTTTCACGCGCCAGTCATACATTTTAACATTTGTAGAAGGTCTCTTTCTATAAGTCTATAATATAGAACGAAACTATTGTTGTATGTAAAGTAAATAAGGTTTTTAAAATGTTTAAGAAGCTTCATTTAAAATTAAATTAAAATGCAGAGCCCCCCGGACCGGTGACCAGGACCCGGGCAGTGTGAGTGCCACTGAAAATCAGCTCGCGTGCCACCTTCGGCACCCGTGCCATAGGTTGCCTACTCCTGGGGTAGTGTCAGTCTGCGGCCAGTTGGGCTGTGTAAAACTGCAGCCTGCAGTGCAAAGGAGGGGAAAATACACTAAAACCAAACAAAAACGTATTTCGTCCAAGCAGCAGGGCAAGAGAAGTGCGCCTGAGGCTTGGTAAAAACTGGAGCAGTCCCCAAGCCAAGCCAGACTGGAGATTTTTCCCAAGACCTCCAAGCACCTAGAATTGGAATGCTGGGAACCAGGACTCTTTAAAGGACAGTGAGTTACTCTAGCCACTCATAAGTAGTTTAGCATGGCCTGAGATGGGCTTATGAAGCAGAACTACTGGGAATAGGTTGCCTCTGGCCTAGAGCTTCTGGACTGGTGTTCGTGTGACCCAGAACGATAACAGGCTTTCCATGACGAGGGGAGAGGGGATTTCATACTGGAGTAGAAGCTTCTCATGACCTTGACCTGTCAAAAGCTGGAGCCAAACAACGGCATCGGTCCGGAGGAAGAAACAACCCAGGATAAACATGATATGCTTGGACAGCAGGCAGGAAAGGTACCCAGGCTGAGAACTTGCAAATGAGCTTTGCCACTTAAGCGCTCTCTGATAGGCCAGAAAGCCTCTCAAGTTTGTGCTGATAAGACAGAGATCAGAAAGTTCAAGCACTTCAGGGTGGCTGCTTGCTATAGTATATTACAGATTCTGACGTGGACCGGAGAAGGAAGCATCTGATCATACGGGGGACAACTTTGTTACACCACTTCCAGGGTACAACTTCATGGCTGGTAATCATCTTCCTGATTGTGTTTATGGTAGCGCCCAAAGGTCTCGGTCAGGATCAGAGCCCTACTGTGCTAGGCACCGTACAGACACATAGCGAGAGATGGTCCCTGTCCAAAGAGTCTAACTAAACCAGAGAGACAAAGGATTAGCATCCCCATTTCACAGATGGGGAACTGAGGCCCAGAAAGATGAAGTGACTTGCCCAAGGGAGTCCATGGCAGAGCTGGGAAAGGCACTGAACTCCCCTGAGTCCCATTCCATAAGGTCATCCTTCCTCTCAACTCCCTTTGGTTTCAAAAGGATTTGCACCTGCTTACGCCAGCGCTGTATTTGATCCCTTTTTTAAATGCTAAAGAAAAAAAATGCCTGGACCTGCCCAAGCATCTCGCTGCAGCACAAGGGGGTGGCCTATGGAAATCAGAATTTGGGACATCCGAGGCCAGGGGGAGCCTCGTGTTCTTGGAGGATCCCCTCGAGCCGACTGATGGGGCAGAGAGAAGATCCCCTAACGTGGATGGGATTAGTGGGACCATAGGCAGAGAAAAAGGACAATCCCTCCCACGGTCAATCATCCAGCAGGAAAGATGCTCAGGACTGGTTTCCACTCCCTGACACCGGGCTGCCTGGCCATGTTACTTCCCAGCTGGATGGTGGCTGCTGGCAGGAGGCTCACAAATGCCAATTAAGATCAAAAAACTTTTAACTTCAAACACAATCGAGAGAGCAGAAACACAGAGAGAAATGTTTTCCCCCCATGGGAGCTTTTGGAACGACGCGAGCGTTCTTTTAAATTCACGGCCAGCTCCCATCCGGGTTACCCCTGTCCTTGCTACACCATCTTCTACAAATAATAACAATGACACAGCTCACAGTTTTGTGTAGGGCTCCTGATCCTGAAGGATCCCAAGCTACTATACGTACAGGGAGGAACACTTCCAGAGTGCACAGAGGTGCAGCCTGCCCTGGGGTGGAACACAGCAACTGAGCCCCTGCAAGCCTGCCCACAAAAATGTACAGACCGAGGGTGAAGGGGATCTAGCACAACCAGAGCGAGAAGGAGAATTCTGAGAGGCTGAATGTAAACTCCAGCTCTGATATTCAGTCCAGCTGCCATGTTAACGCCTCTCTTGGGGCTAACACACCATAGTGCAGGGACCAGAGATCTGGCTCTGCTACAGACTTTCTACGTGACTGCTTAGTTGCTCTGTGTCTCAGTTTTCTGACCTGGACGGCGGGATGGGGCGGGACAAGAGCCATATCTTCATGGATCTGAGTGAGAATTGGTTCATTCCTGTTTGCAAAGCACTTTGAGATCCTTCAGCGGAAGGTGTTAAAGCAGAGCAAAGCATGATTAGCTACAGGATCTGTGACAGCTACAAGTGGGGAGGATCTGGGCAGTACAGCTCATCCCAAAAATAGTCCCCATGCCCTGCTGGCTCAGTACTCAGAGGGAAGAGCGCCATCTGCTGAAGCACCAACCAAAACGGATGTGGTGGTGGTCTCCCATCCAACCACTGGATCTAGGCTGACTTGACGTGGTCTGCAAAGCCACAGGCCTGAGGCAAGCCCAGGACCTGCCACAGCTACAACCCAAAGGGGATGATGCCCTGGGTGGCAGCTGAAGGGATCACACTCAGACCAGAAGGACAGGTCCCAGCAGGGACTGAGCAATAGCCCTTCCCTTGGTCACCCTGCGTTCCTAAGCCCGCCCAGAGTGGGCTCAGAGGAGATTGCCAAATGCTGGGCAAGCCCCATCTCCCAGCAGGCAGCTTGGCATCAGGCGGCAGATGGCATTCCCTTCTCACGACCAGTCCGATTCCAGCGCCGCTCTGGGTCCAGGATGCTGATGGGACCCATCCCCAAGACATGGACGGGGGATCAAAAGCTATTGGTGGGATTGGGGCCAGTGGTTTCCTGCAGATATCCTTCCACTGAGCTGGTCTGGCCCTTCCCATCCTCCTGGTGCTAGCTCCCAAGGAAACCCTGCGTTCCTGACCCACCCCCCATAACTACCCCACTTCCCATCCCCACTGGATCCACAGGACTGCGAGCCACACATGCTAGTGCCCCTCCCAGCTCGGCACCACTGAAGGCTGAACGGAGGCAGCTCCAGCAGAGGAAGGTAAGAGGGACACGGCAAAGTAGGCTAAACGTCTCTCTCAGCACATCAGCTGAAGGACACAT